AGAGAGAGGTAGTTGAGACAAAAACCCCAAGATGAAAATTTTTTTAACCCAAATTTGGTAAAAAAAAAAAAAAAAAAAAAAAAGAGAGAGAAAACGATAAATCATCCAAATGAAAATGATCGTTTGTTTTAATTTATCATGTGATTAATTAATTTATTGGTTACACTTATCACAAAGTGATATGTTTAATCTGGATAATTATCTAGCTAATGAAAAAACGTGTTTTGAAAAAAAAATATTATCTAAAATGAATTTAGAAAGTTAAAAGAGGAATGTGGCCCTGCAGATGTTGTGTACAGTGTTTGGCCTCAGTGCTGCTCAGAGCCTGCAGGCTGATAGCAGAGCTTTAATGACTCTGCTCAGCTGATCTCTGTACTTCACTTCTTTGCCTCTCCACTCTTCATGCATTCTGAATCCACAATTTCCAAATGAAATGCAAAACATGCTTTTGAAGTTGCTAGTTCTTCTGGAGCGACTCAACACAGCAGCAGACGGGCCCCCACATTCTGCATGCGCCTGCCTGGTCACTGGAAATGCAGCTCTACTCCACTTCTCAGTTCTCTCAAGGCGGCAGTTATGTTTGTAGTTTCAGAAGCTTTTTCTACCACGCTGTTTTCTTCCACTCAACCATCCATTAATACGTAATCAGACAGTGTCTAATAATTACATGTTATGGCTTGACCAACTTGTCACTGACAAACGATACAAGAGTTTTATATCAGTCGATATCAAAATCCTGCCTCATTTGCTTCATGCCATCAGTGCCTCATCACTAAATGTCTGGCAACATCAGAGAAATTTGGCAATAATTTCATTGATCCAGTCCATGAAATACTGGCTCCAATATTTCATGGACTGGCGCCAGTATTTCATGGACTGAGTGTTGCTGCTCAACACTCAAATTCATTTTCCTTACAAACGTTAACACCCTTCAAAATCAAATAAAGTTCACTGCGATTTAAGATTTATTGTCAAGAAGCCTTAGTAACAAACAAAGAAAAGAAAATCAACCAAACCCAAATAACCTCACTGTTTGTGCAAACTACATCTGAGTTTCACTCTTTGAATAAATTAGCTTTTCAATTACACCACTATACATTGATATGCTGAAAATAATCATTACCTTTAAGAAATATTTGCACAGCAGTAAGACGGCGCCATCATGCACCAGTCTTTTTTTTTTTCTTTTTTTTTAAAACATTTTTAACAGACCCCACTGTTAAAATAACTCTTTTTAGATTTTATTGTTGTTATACTATTATTCCTGGGATCCTTCTTGTATCTCAACCATCTAGGCTTGTATTCCCAAATTCCATTTCTTAAAACTATTGATTAGTAGTTGACTCTCAAACAAGGTCAAAAAAATGAAGATATAACTCCAATTTCGCCTGAGGT